TTGCCCTATAGTGATGTAGCAAGCAAGGCTTCAGCTGCTGATTTTCCACCTGTCAAGCTGTTGCCCTACTGCATCAAAACATTGCAGGCTGTCCCCCGTACCTAACATGAGTGCTCCTATTCAGGGCTCCAACCAACCTGGATTAGGAAGTTTGCAGGGTGTTTTGGAGCTCATGGGGGATTTCAGGATAGGGAAGGAAAGGGGATGGCTTAAAAACAAAAACACCCTTCCTGAAATCTCCCCCTGCTGTGTTATTTAGCATTAAAATAGAGGGGTCACTTCAAAACCTTTATTAAGTACCTATATAGTATGGTTGTGCAGTACAGTTCTAGAGAGTGGGAAGTATTATTTTTCCTTGCTTGCTTGCTGAAACATTCTCATGAATGGCATGGGAGATTAAGTCTTTAACACCACAATGTGCATCCACCAAGTTTTCCCTCCTGGAGGATATAAGAGGCGCTCAAGAAGACCATTGTCCATGTTTTTACCCAAGTTTCTGTAGCTTAGCTGAACTCAACATTCTGTAGGTCGGGACATGAACCCTCTCAGCCCTCTGTATGTTGCTGGACTTCAGCTTCCATTACACCTGACCATCGACCATGCTGGCTGGAGCTAATGTGAGCTGGAGTCCAGCCAGGTTCCCTATCCTATTCTTGCTGAAGATCTGGGGAGTTCCCAGGTCCTTGTTAGGCCCCCCTGTCCCTATTTAATTATTCTCTTCCTTCTTTATTTACAAACTAATACACTGTTGCAAATATAAGAAGCTCTCCAGCTTTTCAGTAACTGATCCTGTATCACTTCGAAACTGATAGCATGGGACCGCCTGTGTTTTATACTAGTGTCAGGGTGTGTGGCTTAATAATGATGATGATGATGATGATGATGATATACTTATTAGTCACATTTTTGCACTCAAGTGCCTCAAAGCAACTTACACAGTAAAATAAAATAGCAAAGACATTAATATCAGATAAAAGCAGCAATAACCAAAGACTAAAATACTCATCTGACAATATATTTAAAAGGAATGTGCCATTTTGTTGTTCTTGTTGATATTAGGGGAAACTAACCGTGTTTATGGAAGACAATCTTACTTGGCTACGAGTGATCACCAAAGAGATACAACATGTGTGTTTTTAAAAATATGTTTATTTTCCATTTTTATTGGGAAATAATTGCCTTTGTTACTAAAAAATTGTCTGCCAAGGGAAGCCAGTTGCTTGACGCGGGTGAGTGTATGTGCGGCTGTTTATCACAGTGTGTTTTGGATATTTGGTTCTGATGTCACCCTCACATAATGAAAACACAGAGAGGGAGCTCAAAGAGATCAAGAGCTGATCTCTTTCTGAAGTGTGGATGAGCTTTCTCCATTTGGAAATATTTTCAGACTGCAGAATCTTCAGAGCAAAGACCCCCTTTTCTAAAAGAAGGAATATGCATGAGGGTTTTTTCAGACCATTGAACACACCTTTCTCAAAGCAATGGAGTGGCCAGGGAGCCTAGCCCAGAAGATATGTTCTAGATAAAATGCAAGACTTTATGAGACTCACATGCCTTTTGGCAATTTGAATACATTTCAGTGATTCATCACATACTGGCTTTTCACTTCCGAGAATTCGTGCAATGAACTTAACCTTTGGTTTCTTTTCAATCTCCTGGTCTCAGAAGATTTCCCCCTCTTTCTGTAATATTATCACTGGAATTTTACTTCTGAGTAAGGCTATTTAGGAACTAAAAAAATTACATTACTGTAATTTGGGGAAAGTCTGCAGCTCTGTGGTAGAGCACTTGCTACATATACAGAAGATGCCAGATTCAATTCTCAGCATCTCAAGGTATGGCTGGGGAACACCAGTCTGAAGCCCTGGAGAGTAGCTGCCAGTCAGTGTGGACAATATTAAGCAGGACTCTATATAGGGAAGTTTTCTGAGTTTCTATGTTTAGGGCTGTTGTCTTTGTCCATGGAGTTTCCTTGGCAGGGATACTGGAGTGGCTTGCCGGTTCCTGCTCCAGGTGGATCACGTTTGGTCAAAGCTCTCCACTATGATCTGTCCAACTTGGGTGGCCCTGCATGGCATAGCTCATAGCTTCTCTCCGTTCTTCAAGCCCCTTTGCCACAACAAGGCAGTGATCCATGGGCTGGGTCATGAAGAGTCAGACACGACTAAACGACTAAACAACAACAAATGTTTAGGGCTACACTCTTAGGGCCCAGTTAGATATTATGAGGCAGCCATGGTGTTTCCTCATGATGCTGAGGGGCAGAATTTTCAGGAAAGAATTGATAGATACCCAAGGTTAGGTTTAACCCTTCCTCTGAGGCCGGCCCTATCATTAGGCCCTACCATAACACCAACTGCTGAGCAGCGAGAGGCAGGGGGAACAGCAGAGAAAAACTGGAGGACAGAGCTGTGTGTGCTCCTTCCAGCTATGGCACAGGATGCTGCCTGGTTTATAGTACTAAAGTAAGAGTCAGCTTCCAGTGTTGCCAGCTTTTATACATGTAATGGGGGAGAAGTTACGTATGTCAGAGAATCCTGACAAAAATGGAAAGGGGAATTATCCTATGTGTGTAATGGAAATTCACTGTTGCTGTTGCTCTCGTTCTGCTAAGGATATGTAATTGATCACTCCCCTCCCCACCACCATTGCACTGCATTTCCTCGGCTTCAAAATGAATGAGGTGGAATAATTAATTACATAACTTACATACGTTACATGATTTACCAGCAGTGAATCAAATAATGTAGCTGGAGTGCCAACTTGAATAAAATATTGGGGTGGGCCAGGTAATTCCTTGAGTGCTCACTGGAAGGACAGATCGTGAAGCTGAGACGCCAATACTTTGGCCACCTCATGAGAAGAGAAGACTCCCTGGAAAAGACCCTGATGTTGGGAAAGATTGAGGGCACAAGGAGAAGGGGACGACAGAGGACGAGATGGTTGGACAGTGTTCTCGAAGCTACAAACATGAGTCTGACCAAACTGCGGGAGGCAGTGGAAGACAGGAGTGCTTGGCGTGCTCTGGTCCATGGGGTCACGAAGAGTCGGACACGACTAAACGACTAAACAACAACAACAAGGTAATTCCTGCCCTGGATAATTGATCACATGATGTGGCACACACACACCATGTAAATGGCAATGCCCATTAACCGGGGGGGGGGGCTCAAATATTTTATCGGGGAGGGCAAAGGGACCTCAGGCCCTAGGAGTTCACGCCTATGAAAGTAGCTTTTGTCAGAAGATGAACTGCAGCCAAATGGAAATGGTGCTGCGTGTGACAAATGCAGGGCAGAATGGGAAATGACGCCTTCTTACAGCCCCAGGAGCAGTGCCACAGAGAGCAAAATGTATTGGACCTGCTTCTCTGGTCTCTCTTCTTCATGTGCTCCTCTAGGCAATTTTTATCCTCACCCTTCACCCTCTAACTTGGCAAGGCTGCCTGAATGAAATCCAGGTTGAGGAAATAACTTGGGAAGGAGGAAAGAGAAGATTTGCAATTAAATTGCTTTTCATTAAACAGAATTTAACTGATACATCAAACAGGGATATGAAAATGAAGAGAGATGGTTATTTTTTTTAAAAAAAAACTTGACTGAAAGATCATTAGGATTTCTTTTAAAGAAAGATTCTGGATATTTTCGAGGAACTCAGTTCTTGTGAAGTTCTGAAACAACTCCGTCTCTTGATATGGATCTTTTAAAATGACTGCATTCATTTGCATCTAATTAATGAATGTATTTATGCAGAAGTGAATGCGGATTATGTATATGAGCAAACATGAACTTTAAAAAAATCATTTTTAGTTATTTTAATGCTAATTTGTGACTCGGGTTGAAATTGTATATACACTTACCTGGGAGTAAGTCCTGCTATATTTATGGGGATTTTTTTTTTTTTGTAGAAGATGTGTCTAGAATTACACTTTCTTTTGTTTTTACTGTATGTGCTTTTGTTTTTTTAAATGCTTTGAGACCTAGTACCCCTTCCCCCAATTCACCAGCTATGTTACCAGCTGCCAAGTAGGTGGCAGCAGCCCCCCTCTCTCTGCATTTTCAGTCACTTGTCAAGTCATAGCAACATAGGTAGCTGTCTTATACTGAATCGTACCAATGGCCCATCTAGCTCAATACTGTCTGCACACACTGGCAGCAGCACTCCAAGATTCCAGGCAGGGGTATCTCTCTCTCAGCTCAAGCTGGAGATGCTGGGAATTGAAACTGGGACCTTCTGCATGCAAAGCAGATGCTGTTCCACTGCCCTTTGTGCCTTTCCTAGTCATTGGCAAGGACTGATCTGAGTGACCAAGTATTCATGGAGTCTATGGAGGGGCAGAAAGGGGCTGCATTGAGTTTGGAAGATTGTGGGTGACCCATGCCTGCTTTTAAAAAGTAGGGAAGAAAAGACCCAGTCCCAAATTCCCAACACTCTGCATGTTCTGTTGCTTACCTGGGTCTCCCACACAGGGAGGTTGTCCCCTTTCAGTTTTAATAGAAGAAGACAGTTGTATGTCTGAAAGTGCCTATCATAGAATTCTGAACATATATTTTTTAGATGTCCTTTTTAAGTTGAGATTCGTAGAGACACCATTGATCCTTTGCTGAAGAGGCTCGCCGATCTTTCAGACAAGTCTAAACTTGATTCTCTCCTCTTAGGCAAAGATCACAAGACGACCTGGCTGGTAGCCAGATTCTGCGCCCAGATTTGTAGGCAAAGATCATCCTCTAGAATAAAATAGCTTACTAGGGAAATGCTGAAGTCGCCCTTTGGGGTGCCTCAGGGTCAATTTTTATGGTAGCCCAAATCTCAGTTGTATGGGTGTATGTATCTATCTCAATTTTAACTCATGAGCTACTGCTGCAATCTGCTCTGATTGTATATTTTATCTTTATGAACGCTGTTTTTATTGTGTTATGCGAGCTGGTCTTTGACCGTAATAAATTATCTATCTATTATAGAATTGGAAGGCACCTCAAGGATCATCTGTTCCAAACCCCTGCAGTGGGGCTCAAACCCATGGCGTTGAGTTTAAGAGTCTCATGCTCTACTGACTTAGCTATCGCTCCTCATAGAAATGAACAGGAACAAGTACATGTAGGTGGCAGAGGTACAGTTCTATGGGTTGCAGCCAGTGGTATCTATGGGGAAAGAGGTCAGGTTTTTGCCTGCTTGCACCACAGGACTTCACCTTCCTCTTTTCCTCCCTGCAGGGCCCCCCATGTCCCCACAATCTGCTCTGGACTGTTGAGAGATCCTCCAGATCAGATTTAGCAAACCGGGAGGGGGGTTCAGGGGAGGAGAGGAAGGAGAAGTCCCATTTCATGACTGGAAGTTCTCTTGTGCAATGTATGATTTCACCATAGAAGATGAAGCACTCTCTGTGCATTGGAGACCTTGTGCTCAGTGAAATTAAGCCTATGGGGTCCAGTCTATACCTAACAGAAAGACAGCATAAGAAGTAGCTGATGGCTAAAGTTTTTGTACTTTAACAGATTTTTGAGGGACCAGCCACCACTGTCTTATCTGTCTTATGGTGAAAACTTTTCATTTATTAGATTTCCCTCCCAAATGAAAAGTAATATGCAAAGGCACAACAGTGTTATCTTCTCTGGGCTGTTTTTCTTGCTAGGCTACCATGTGTAACAACACATTTGATTTCGGAGTAGATTATATTAAGAGGAAGTGTGTGTTTGATTAGGAAATATATTCTATATTACACCAGACGTAAGCGTTATTACTTTTGCCAGAGTCTCAGCATATGTATTTAATGCTTCCATTTTTCTGCATTTTGATGTGAAACACTATCTCTCCTAATAAGAAAGTGTCATGGTTTTTATTATAAATGGATAATGAAGATTATCAGAATAAGGGTTTTAGTTATAAAAATAGGCAATTGGTTTAATGCACATTGGCTGGTTGATGCATACAATAAATAACAAGCAACCACATTAAGATTGCAAATAGGCAAATCTTATTGGAGTATTGATTTCTTTGGAAATAGGAATTATTACTCTTGGAGAATTCAGATTTGCCCTGGCAACACTGAAGAAGACACTTTGTACTTTGTCTTTGTACACGGCATGATCTACTGTCCCTAGGTTGCAAATCCTTAGGCTACAATCTAATAGACACTTTCTAGGGGAAAGGCACCACCAGATGCAGTAGGACCTGCTTCCAAGGTCACAGTAGGACTGGACTGTAGTATTCAGTCTTAATCAAGCAGTCAAACTCTTGGCTGCAACTCTTGCAGCCAAGCTGGTGCCAAATGTATTGCTCTGCTTTCCTTTAGACCACATCAGCAAGGCTGAGAGCGGGGTGGTCTTGTCATCTGTGCAGCCCAGGACCTCCATAGGCACTACCCAAGTTTACGCCCTGAGGAGATCACTTTGGGGCTTCTAACACAGCAGTTTGACTTCACCCCTGGAGGTGCACTCCTTTGTCTCTCGAGACAGATGGATGCCAATGACAAAATGATATCTACCCTCTTCAGTCATAGTATCGTCTAACCTTGATTTAAATACCGTATGTTCTGGCATACAAGATGACTTTTTATCCCTAGAAAATCACCCCAAAAGTCGGGGGTCGTCTTATATGCCGGGTTGGGAAGGAGGAGAGGGAGCCGGTGAGCAGAGGCGCCCCTTCTGCCATCGCTCCTCCCTCCCCACAGAAGGGGACATGGAAAGTCCTTCTGAGAGCGGTGCTCACCCACCCACCCACCAAATTCCTTGCCTCGGGCTGCTGCTGTTGCTAAGTATTACAAATTGATTTATATATTTCTAAATCAATGGTTTTGAACTATTGACAAAGAAAAGGGTGGGTAATATGTCATCCTCCTAGTGTAATGGAGGTTTTCAAACAGAGGCTGGATGGCCATCTGTCAGGGATTATTTAGCTGCAATTCCCACATTGCAGGAGGTTGAACTAGATGATCCTATGGGCATGCCTTCCAGCTCTATAATTTTATGCTTCTGTGCTGGTGGATTACAACTTCCCTGAGCACTGACCTTGCTGGCTGGGGCTGACAGGATGCCAGAAACATCGTGTGTGGGAGGGGGACACATTCCCTATTCCTGGACTAGGAGGTCAGTGCAGAAGGTGATACGACAATCTGAACCTGAGAGAATCCTGATAATGTATCACTATCTTGGAAGCCACTGCACTAGGGTTTTTATTTGGCCTTAAACTTATCAGCAGACCTGTCACTACTGTTATGGAGACTTCCAAGGACCTTGTTGTTGTTGTTGTTTAGTTGTTTAGTCGTGTCCGACTCTTCGTGACCCCATGGATCAGAGCACGCCAGGCCCTCCTGTCTTCCACTGTCTCCCGCAGTTTGGTCAGACTCATGTTTGTTGCTTCGAGAACACTGTCCAACCATCTCGTCCTCTGTCGTCCCCTTCTCCTTGTGCCCTCAATCTTTCCCAACATCAGGGTCTTTTCCAGGGAGTCTTCTCTTCTCATGAGGTGGCCAAAGTATTGGAGCCTCAGCTTCACAATCTGTACCTTAGAGCTGGCTAACTTCACTGCTGCTCTTATTCATAGGATCAAAGTTTAAGGCAAGATTGTATTAGAAACTGGGAAGATATATAATGTGCCTCGCAGAGCTCACCTCCTTGTGCTTATAACAGGGGAGAGGCTGGGAAATAGACTACTAAGATGAAAACTAATTATTCCATGCAGGTTATCATGAGATCCTTGAATGAATGATCAAGAAAGCAGTGAAGTAGAATGTCAGACTTGAATTACAACCTCCAAAAGTTTTGTTCAACAACTGCAATGTGTTCTGTATCATTGTCTCAAATGCGAACGAAGTTCCAGTGATTCTATTTACCCTGCCTGTCAAAGTTATCAATGGAAACATGAATATATATTAGCAGTCTCATTCTATTTCATGTGACACCTGCGGAAGAAGATAAGGCTGCAGAACAATGGGAGCTGCTTCCTTTGCCGCACCAGGGTCAGATGCATTTATTGCAGCTTGAATTATGTGGGAAGAGAAGAAGGCAGGTGTTTTGCATACCAAAAGTGCCCTGTTGCTCACAGAGCAGAATGGCCTTCGTGACTAAGTTAGATAAACTGTTAGCAAGCGGGAAGCTCACACTGCCTCCCCCACTCCATCTTGCTAAAGCGAAGCGGAAACTTAAAGATTATTGAGCCATTCCAAGGAAATGAAACTGATTCTGCTTCTTTCTTCTATTAGCACCAAAGACCTTTGAGTGCTTGCTGGTTTATGGAAAGTAAATAAGAAGGACGTTTTAAAAGGAGCTGCTATCTTGACCAAATTACCTGTGACCGAACTACGGATCTCACTGAGTTAAACATTGGAATTTAGATTGTTCCACTGCATTGATGCACTTTGCAGCTGGCCTAGAGTAGCATATATATACTCTAGCAAAAGCAAGTCACCACTGACAATTAGTTACTCCTAGGTTGGTCAAAATTAATCACTGTATAGCCAGGCTACCTAAGCTAGAATTTTTAACAATGGGGACCCTAATTCTTTTCGGGAGTTCCCCAAACATCTCTGATCTGTGAACGATGTTATTATATCCTGATATTGATTAGAACTGGACTGCAAAACTGGAGTGGGGCCATTTTGGTCCATTACTAGATCCATACCAGGAGAACTGGTGTAGTTGTTAAGAATGTAAGGTATGATGCTGGAAGTCCCTGGGTCAAATCTCAGTCATGAACTCACTATGCAGCCTTTGAAACACAGATCTCAGCCACCCATATACATTTTTAGAAGAACTACAACACTGACATAAGCAGTGAATAACCCCGTTTTGGTCAACTCTTCAGGCCCCTAACACCACCAGTACACACAGCCATAAGTGCACACAGCCCCCTTCCCCGTATGATCCATACATATCAGCTGATGAGAGGGTCATCACCCAATCTCTGCTCATCAGCCTGATGACAGAAGAAGGGGCAGTTTCCACCCCTACATGCTCTCCAACATCCTGCTGTTTAAAATCAGGATGCTCCTTTATTTTTGGTCTGGCACTCTAGTGTGAGCCAGCTGACTCCCATGAGAACACGAGATCAAAAACAGGACATTCCAGAATCTCACCAGAAGCCAGGGTGGCTTCCGTAATTCTGGGATGTCCTGCTCAAATTGGGACAGTTGAGGGGTATGTCGCTACCAGGGCACTGGGTTCTACGCGCCGCAGGACTGTGTCTATTTTATTTTAATGTCTGCTGTCCTTCTCTCTCATCCTTCACACACACACACACTTACTGTTGTGTTGCATACTGTAGATCATCTGCCAGCCTTCCTCTTGCCATGCCTTCTGTAGCAAAGAGCCTATCTATCAGCTCCAATAATATCTGGCCTGGAAATGAAAACACTTTAATTGCTTGTGCTGTGCTCTCCCCTTTACTCACAGCAGCATGCCTGGTGACCTCTCCTATAAACCACGGGTAGGTCCTTCTAACACAGCATTTCAGAATCACCCAGCGTAGATCATTAGAGCATTATGTTTATAAGAAATAAGGGGAAATTTGTTGTATACACAAGGTATTAAGTCTGAAATGTTTTTGGTTCCCCAAATAAATTTGTCTGCATGTTTATGTATGTGAGAGAGACAGAGAATGTTGGAAGACAATTGCAAATTTCCATAAGATTGTAGTATGCATAGCTTATTGTATAAATATATCAAACCTCCCGTAACAACCCAGAAAATGGAATTCAATTTTGGAGAATGTAAAAGGGCTTAAGTAGGGTACAACAATTTTATGCCAGATTTTGATTGCCCCCTGTAGGCACAAGAATTACACTCTTAATAAAGCTATACAGATTCATACTTAGTACATTCCCTCCAAGGATCTTAAAATGGCCTGTGGAAGCTGATTAGTCTCTACATTTTTACTTTTATTGAAGATATAGGTAAGTGTCTATTATGCCATTGGAGCTGCTACATTTTGGTGTCCAGGCTAACAATCACTTGCCAACTTGGATTACACATATGTTGTTCGGAATGGCTCACCCAAATCCTCTAAAAATTTAGTTCAGTTCTGCTAATTTTGGGATTCATGAACTGCATAAGGAAAATCTGATTTTT